ATTTTCCCTGGTCTTTGTGGGGTCGGGAGTGCTCCGACAATTTAGTTTGAGTGGGTTGGAGGCCAAGTGGAATTCAGATGATGATCGCTCTTCCTTTTGATGACCGCACACCAACACGTGTCAGCTCGAGTGACCCAAGACCGTTCTCCACACTCTTGCCAGTTCCACGCCTTCTATTCTGTTAACACTGGGACGCTTGGCGATTTCTTCCGCCTCGGCTATCAGTCTGTGTGATGTGGACCGTAGTCCTCGCCTCAAAACCTCAACATTTTCTAAATCTACTTTGTGCCCCATGTCAAGTGCGTGTTCCGCAATTGCCGAATCTTTCAACAACGCTTGATATTCGTCTGTTTTTCTCGGTGGCCTGTTTGTTTCTCTACTATGCTCTCCGATTCTGATGTGTAGTTCTCTGGCTGTCTGTTCTATACAGACCTTGGTGCAGTCGTTACACTTAATTTTGTAGACACAGTCCCTGGTTCTGTTTGCCGGGAGGCGATCCTTCAATTGCACCAGTGCAGAGCGCAGAGTGTTTCTCCTCTGGAAAGCTACTCTTATGTTAGTCGTGCTTAGAATTCGTCGAATGACCTGAGATGTACCTGGTTTATATGGAATAACAGCGGTCCTGATCCATCCTTTGTTGAGTTTCGCTACCGGTGCAACAGACTTAGGTGTTCCCCACACCTCTTAACTACGTTGTTCCCATTGATTGACGGACAACTCAGGTAAGGTATGGTGATAGGGGAGCCTTGTTAAAGAAATTCTTCGAATATCGAATTACCAGAGGAAAATTTCCTCTCTATGCCAACTGACGTTCGGTACAAACGGTATTCGGCGTCTCTCAGACCTTCTCTCTCTTTCTCTGTACTTTTTAACACTAAAGTCTAAGAAATTATCGTTTCTTCTGAGCTACGATCGTTCAGCCATAGCACCCTTTCGGCGCCTAACTGCCATGCCACCCGAAGGAAGCACGATGGCTGGGACACTGCCAGGTTGCCCAAGCCTAGACAGGAGGAATCGAGATGCTGAGGTTGGGTTCGAACCACGGACCTTGTGGTCCTTAAGCTGACGCCTTAACCTTTGAACTATCTCTCTCTGTACGGAATAGCAAAACGAATAGCAAGTATTCCCAACGTGATTCGTACCGATATCCTCCCGTTTGGTTGTTGAAGGTTAAACCGCGCGGCCAGGAATGGAGACTTCCCAGCAGTATGTTCAACGTGCACTCGTAAATGGTATAGCGCTGCTCATCCTCCGTTGAATTTTCAAAATCTCCTCATACTACTAACAAGCCATAATTAGCTCTGAAGTGAGAATAATACACAAGACAAGTGGGCCCTCCATCGTCACTCTACCAAGTGACTGTGAGTGAAGGATGAGTGATACTGTATCCCCTCCAAATGTGAATGTGGCCGAACGGTTCGGTCTTCAACCATTCGCCATGAAGTCACACGTTCAAATCTCTCTGGTTGTAGGTGAGACTTGCACTATCGATGATTCTCAATGAGGATAAAGTGGGTTCTCGGCTTTTAGGCATAGATCGGCTTCACTTACATGATGAATCCTGATTGAAAGATAACGGCAGAGTGGTTGAACTCTCAACAGAGTATGGTTGCATGCGCGCCTCAAGAAGTCTCGTATATAATCTTGCTTTAAAACTGTCCTTGTGGCTCTTTTGTGTTAACCTTCTCAGTTTTGCCGTATCCTGACTTTTTCGGGAGGGCGGAGCGGAAAAAATTTGAGGATCAATTACCTAACGTCATGAAAGGTGCTCACCCCCATTTTCCATACGCTTCGGTTCATCAGTAATCATTTGTTCGCAGGAGATACGCCCGAAATAACGAGACTGGGTATTTCTGGACCACTCTCTTTCTTTGCCCGCAGTTGTTGCCACAATCGACCCCGGTGAATGGTTCTGTCCGGTTCGGGACTGCTGCATCCGTGGACCAGATTGTTTGTACCCATCTGGGTCTGTTGCCCGTACTGACCAGCCTGTTGAGCCTAATGTGCAGCCAACGACCTTCGGGGACTCAGTTGGTACCGGACAGGTATGTTACATTCTTTATCAGCTTTAAAAAGCGGACTTCCAGCCTCGGTTGAACTCATTTTCTAGCTGTTTCTCTTGTCGTCCAACTTCGATACAAGTATCTCCTATCCAGGAATGTGTATTTCTCGAAAACAGTCCAATTTGGGTTCATAAGGTTGACGGAAACTCGGGGACTGCGCCTACCTGATGAGCTCCAAGTGAAAGAGCGAAACCGGTCGTAGGCTGTCGAAGAGTTTTCAGCAACCTTGTGAGTAGTTTCCTTTATGAAGATATCTGTCAGGAGCTCTATTCAAATCATCCGTTCCTACGCAGGTTCTTTCTTTCTCCCATCGACCAAATGTATGTTTGAAATGTCTCACGCCACACAGAGATTTTGATCATCTACTACCGTTGTCAGCCTTGTCTACAACCGCAGACGTGAGGTGAATTCGAGGGGGCGAGTTTGACCGAGTGGTTAGAGCGCGAATTTACTGACCGGAAGGTCCGTGGTTCGAACCCGACCCCTGACTAGGCTTGGGCAACCTGGCAGTATCCCAGCCCCCGTGCCTCCTTCGTGTGGCACGGCACTTAGGCACCGAAAGGGTCCTACAGCTGAACGATTTTAGGTGAATTCGAGCATTGAGCAGTGATTGTACTACAAAGCGTTACTTCTGGTCCAAATTTATTTTCAATAGAAATGTCGTCCCTGGAAGTTGATCTTCCTCGCTCTGCTAGGTGGTACTAACGAACATGTGGTATCATGCTTCCTCGTCATACACACTCCTGATGCTAACGATCCCAGAGGTTTTCCTGCCAATGTGTACCAAACAAGAATGTGCGACAATAACGCGCATACATGTTGTCATCGTAGATTCCAGTCCTCTCAACTGACGGTCACACCCATTTAAATCGAGCAAGTCTGAAGCTGTGGCGATTTCACCTGAAATTGATGTCTAGTCTAGTCGTATCGTTCCTCGACAAGTACCGATTCGGCCATCGTTGAAGGCGCATCCGAGTGGCAGCGGAACCTGTCGTTCAACTGAATGTGTGCAAAAGGGCCACCTCGTGTTTCAGTCGGTACGATATTCAAGATATCTCAGTAGATCTTCATGAAGGAAACCGTTTTTAAAACTCTTTGACAGCCCATGACCGGTTTCGCCCTTCCTGGGGCTCGTCACTTGGGTGTAGTCTTCGAGTTTTCATCAAACTCATGTTCTGCTTTAAGCCAAATTTCACGAAATTCGATAAATGCAGTTGTTGTATCTAACTGCTGTCCCCACTCCAGTGCCTGGTGCCAGAAAGAAACCCACCGACAATGGACCACAACAGCTTTATTCCAAACAAGCGAGGGCGTGCGAGTATCTTAAACTCATCGGCTTTTGCTGAACTGATGAAATGGTTGACTGGCCTGGATGCTTGCCGGCTTTTCTACTGAGATTTCCGTTTAGTTTTAGGGTCTCAGTAGGTTCCGAGCGTCCTGGAGTTTCTTTCAAGAATCTGACCATCCTGATAGCATTCCTGTGCATACCAGTTCAGTTTCACCTGAAACCCGGCTGATTCCCTCATTTGTGATATTCTTGGACTGAAACGGGTGTGGAAAGACTTCAGCAACCTATCGTTATCCCAGTCTCGATGGGACAACAAGGGATCACTATCAGGGCAACTCATTTCTGAGTCCAACTGTATTCCTGACAAAACTAGACCAGATATTGACGTGATCTTCATTCTGTAGCAGTTCGAATCCGACCTCTGCCACTCGAATTCCCCTGTCTAGGGTTGGGCGACCTGGCAGTATCCCAACCCTCGTGTATCCTTCGTGTGGAATGGCAGCTATGCGCCGAAAGGGTGCTACAGCTGAATTATTATTATTATTATTATTATTATTATTATTATTATTATTATTATTATTATTATTATTATTATTATTATTATTATTATTATTATTATTATTATTATTATTATTATTATTATTATTATTATTATTATTGGGTGAAAACCGTCGCACCGTGTTATCCACCAATCAAACGGAGGGGTTGGTGATTGCCTCCAGCTGGACCCTCTTCGTGACTTGGTGATATCCCTGCATGTAAGCTTTGTGCAATTCCATCTCCGAGTAAAGTTATTTCTTGTGGAGCATTGATTGGCCGATGCCTCTCCACGCTGTAATGGTTTGTGCAACTTCATATCGCTTTGAGCTATACCTGGGAGTGTACCCGTGACACTCACATGTTGGTCAATCGATGAAGTTCTTACTAACTCGGTCTCCTGGTTCTCCAGATTGGGTGGTCTAACATATGTGGCGACTTGCTTCCTAAAATTGCAGGCTGTTCTCATGATTTTACGATAACCATCACTACATTGTGATTAGACTCTTCACCCAAGGGCTTTCTCTGGTCGAGGACCCTTATCGTCCATATCTCTTGGTGTGGGCGCCATGGCAGTCTCCTAGCCCTGGTACAACCATGAATGTCACGCTTACAACAGGCCGTGGCATCACCGAGACTCTCTCCCCCAACCGCTGAACAGCTTCCGACAGTTCCTCGTTCCTCCGAACCTCGAACGCCATTTTTTTAATGGATCCATCTCGCAACGCACAATTTCTGTTTGTTTCCCGCAGGACCTATCAACTGGCAGCCGAAGTTCTACGTGCGGTCTGTCAGTCCTGTTCGGAAGCGTGTCGCCGAATGGTCTGCGGAAACGACGTTGCCGTGCTAGTTGACTGCTTGGTGGCCAGATTTTCGGTAGGTTTGTACACCTTCCCCAATTTCATCTTGAAGTTTATCGGTGTCCAATCTACAAACTTCGAACAGTTTCTCGACTAACAGCATCTGAAACACTTCTCTTTGTGTCCGGTCTTCGATTGAATACGCTCATTTGTTAGTTACGGTTTGTTTTTTAATTGGCGGTCAGGAAACTTTCAAAATATTCTGCTATGCTCCCAGGTAGTACGAGACTGAATGCGGTTAATGGGAACTTGGGGATCACGCCCACGTAATGCGTTCAAAGAAGAAGAAATCTAGCAGTTGGCTGCCGGAGCGTTTTTTCTCTTTGTTATCAGTGTTGGATGAAGACCTAGTTTACTTTTACAGGGACCCCGTTTCACAGTGCAATCAGATTTCATTCGACGGAATTTCTGCTGAACTATTTTATCTAGCAAGTGTCGCTGGATAGGGACCCAAGGAAACCAGGAGTCTGGAGCAAGCAAGCGGGATTCCCTGATGACGTTACACAGACTTTTTACGAACTTCCCGATTGTCATTTGAGTGTCGAGCGGGTTCAGCAAGTGCATTTGGAGCTTAGAGAAGAAGACATCTCAACATCAAGAATATATCGGAACTCGCAACCAGATTATTGGCTCAAAAAGGGATCTTCGTGACCCACTAACCGAATGCCACCCTAAGGAAATTGATCTCTAGACCGCAAGACAACCGAGACAAAACCAAGAAGAACAATGTGATATACCAACTCAACTGCAACAAATTCTACGTCGGAAAAACTGGGAGGAAACTATGCACACGAACAAAGGAACACAATGCGGCCGTCAGGAGACATGACCCCCTGTCCCTAATATCCATACACGAGGACCAAGAAGGCCACAAATTCAATCTGGAAAAAGCAGAAATTTTGGAATACGCAGACACGCGACACGGAAGAGGATTTCTGGAAGCATGGTACTCCACGGCAGATTCGATCATGCGGTGCATCGAACTGGATCCCATTTACGCACCTCTACATGCAAAAGACCAGCATCTCAACCGGAACACTCAAGGAGGACCGAATACTGGATTCAGAAACAAAGAAACAAGGAACCCCTTGGAGTCAAATCAATAAAGCTCACAAGCCGGGACTCCAACATCGACCAGGTTACGACGGCAAGGATGTCAAGCTCAAAGGTCACGTGGACATCGGCGAATGGGGACACAGGACCACGGAGCAACCCGACCGAACAACTTATCGTGCTAGCAACACGTATATTAACACACGCGTAACACTACTCAACGCACAGCCACTAGCCCACCGCTACGCACCACTACGCTCCTCAATAAGGCACTCATAATGTCACCTCGATTGGTGATGAAACGTTTGGAATCGAATTGCCCAGCTCAGCGAACAAGCCAACGGCCATGTGAACGTCCTTTGGCTGATTAGAGTGCACACAGCGGAGTTAAGTAATTAGGTAGTATCCTATAAACGTGCTCGCGAATGAAATCGGTGTTCATTCGCTGATCTTGGTGGCTTGACCGTTGGTATAGAATGAGGAAAAAGAGGAGCGAATTCACACCAGTTTCAATCACAGTAGAGGAGGTTTGGAATACATTGCATGTGACCATATCAGGCGGAAAATTTCGGTCGAGACAGTCAATAATCGGTCACTCCCATTTTTTCACCTTGAACAGCGAATTTAAACACAGTTCTCATAATTTTGCTGATAACCTAATGAGTAGTGTGTTCATGGAGCTTGACACTTACACTACAACTATTTGATCCTCAGTGGAATAGTTTAATAACGGCATTTCCTCAGCTTAGTTCTCTGTTTGAACCTCCCAAGCTAGCGTTCCCGACAAAAAACCACCAAAGGTGCACAACGTACATTAAGGCCAAAAACCAGGTCAAGAACATTTGTACAGCGCCGCGACTACATTCTGGAAACTCTGACGCCTTCTGGATGCGCTACTGGCAACCGACGAATACTAGGTCATGGTTGGCTGTTGGTCCATACTTTCGGCCAATCAGAGCTCGCCTGGATGCTGGACCGGCAAGCAGCCCAATCTTCCGGCGCGGGATAGGCTTCTCGGGCAACAGCAGCACCTAACTGCGGGTGGTAAAGCCGTATTGGTGTGGAATTCCACCCGACAACCGGATATTATCTATGCGCTACTGGTTGGGTACTTCCTCCTCTTTTGTTTTACTGAAGAGTTTCCGGAAGTCATCTGGTATCTTACAGTGGTAACGATCATCTACCTGTGTTTCGCAACATGATACAACATCCAAATTTGTCTGCCCTAATCAATGCCATTGTCTTGGTCATCTGGCTGTAGGTCTGTTCATTACACAGTAATAGACTTATTAAAAAAATATGAATACCAGGACAAAGCTCGTGCGCAGCTGAAAGAGGTTTTTCGATATCATCGGAAAACTGAACAGAGCATTCGAAAGTGTGTGTTGTGAGTTACGGAGAGGGGTTCTACATAAGCTAATGAAAGTGGCATAATTAAAACTGGATGTCACGAATCCTGAAACGCGCGGATTATAATGAGTGTCCCGGTAGCTCAGCAGTTAGGACGCGAACCTATCAACCGGAAAGTTCGTGGTTCGAACCCGAACTCTGCTTCTCGACTTTCCCTGTCTAAGCTTGGGCGACATGGCAGTATCCCAGCCCCTGTGCTTCCTTCGGGTGGCATGACAGATAGCCGACAAAAGGGTGCTACAGTTGAACAATGGGGGCGAGATGGTTCAGTGGTTCGAGCGCGAATTTACTGACTAGGAGGTTCTCGGTTCGAACCCGACCTCTTCATCTCGACTTTCCCTGTCTAGGCATGGGCAATATCCCAGCCTTCATGCTTCCTTCCTGTGGCATGGTAGCTAGGCTCCGAAAGGGTGCTACAGCTGAGTGCTTTTTTTATTTCACATCAATTCAAGAAAGAAGGTGGCCACAAATTGGCGAAATCAACGTAGTCGATTTAAACTGGCTATGTGATGACAAAGTCAAAGAGCTGTTTACTTTCAAATCAAAACGAGAACAATAAAATGGTGAATCACGTTCTACGGATAGGGGAAAAGTTTCAACGCTTAGCCCCTTGTTTCCTTCAGCTTACATGGCAGCTATGCTTGAGAAACAAGTCATTGATGAACCATTTGCTGTGTTCAAGTGATAGCTTGTAATAATGGAGCATTTTCATTGCCACGTTTGGTTTCGAGGAGTAGATCATCCTCCAGGCAAACGAGAGAGGTCTCTGCTCCATTTGTGTAGGCAATATTCGTGTTACGAAAAATTGTCCCTCGGATGCTGGTGTTCCCTCTGAACCAGACTCATTTGCCATGTTTGTATTCCTCTGGCCACTTTGCCAAGGTAAAACCTCGGATGCTGGTGTTCCCTCTGAACCAGACTCATTTGCCATGTTTGTATTCCTCTGGCCACTTTGGCAAGGTAAAACCGTTCTTACTTTGAACTGCTCTTTCTCGACCTATGGTTGCTCAGCCACCTGTGACTTCCTCGCGGCAACTTGGCACGATGGTTACGAAAGACGATCCGCTGGACGGTGATTCGAGCTACACGGTTGCTGTCAATCCATGCACACTGGCTGTCATGCATTCTTTCACCTGTATCATCAATCAGGTCGTGGAGGATTGGTACTCAAATCCTCCCATTGCGGCAACATCCAGCGTGGACATCCAGAGGATACAGGTACGTGTTTATACGGTCGACGGTTTATAGTTTGTTTCTTCGTCCCTATTTATTCTGCTACTATTTTTCCCATCCGATAGCTTCGGTTTGACGTAGCGGTTGGGTTTGGACTACCACAATGACTCTGGGGGGATGAGGTTGCTTCTAGGTTCAATCGTAATAGAAAAACCGAATGCAATCGACCAAAGTTGATAGGCTTCCTGTACCATGAGCACCCGTATTCTGAAGCGGTTTGGCGAAAGAGTCGTACCGAAATGTTTAGAAAGCAAAGTATTTCCACCCAATGCCATCACTTTCAGGACCAAATCTTATGTGGTAGGTGGGCGAGAGCAGTAAGGGGACTGATCACAAAAGTGCGAACAGGTTTAGTTGTACCACTTAAAACTACACAAACCGAGCGAATCCCTGGAACAACTAAAAAGATCGAGTTCCATGGAGTTGTCTGTGAACTGTTTGAACTATTGGTAGTTCAAACGCGCTAGCTGTCTTTTGATCATTCGATAGTTTACCTGTTTGCTGAGCCTGGCGATTAGCTTGCAAAAGTTTCGACACCATCCGAGGAGTCCGCAGTCCGTGCGCGATTGTAAGGTTATTTCCCACAGGTCTACTTGAATTTACATAGTTCATAAACAGTATTTGGTACCTCTAACAGGATTGGTTGTTAGAATTATAGCTTGCGTGCAATTTGGTTGTTCAGCTACGCTACCTATTACTCCAGCTCTGTTCCTTCGTTCCGATTGGTTCATTGCGTTCCTTGTTTCTTTCGTCTGAGCTCGGCTTCCCACCATTTAGTTTGTCAGTTAACTAGCCTCCAAGTTTAATGGTTTTTCTTTGTGATTGGTCTGCCCGCAATTGATGTCACACTCTGCTCTAATTTCTTGAATTCTATCCAGTCTGTATGTCACTCCTCTTTGTTTGTTTTACTCTTTAGCCCTTTGATTTATCGGTCGATGTGCTGCTTTTTTACACATCCTACTGGCTTTGACTTTACTTATTCAACTATGCGTCCTTCTAGTACTTTCTGGCTTTTTTCCGATTTATTGTTCCAGTGGTTTGTCAGCAGAGTTTTATACAGTGTGTCGATCTCAGTGTGTTTGGGAATTCACGTTTCTTCTTCGTTCCTTCTAGGCCTGATAAATGGATTTGACTTCATGTCCTCCTTGATTTTCATGCTCGAGGACAAACGAAAGTTGATCGTGTCTCTTGACGGCGTTCGTGTAGCCTGGTTGATAGCCTCCCCCTGTGTGTTCCACACCCAGTGCCTGTCACAATCCTTGCATTGAATCGCTGACATAAGGTTGACCTTCTTCGTGGTTGCCAATTTCTGCAGCTGCGGCAGTGCTTTCCGAAATGTGTTGATAGACCTGTATCCTACTGTCGTGACATTCTTGCAGTCACTTGTAGACGATTACGAAGGTGTTGTCCACGTTATAGATTCGTATTTTCTGGTTTACATCTTGAAAGACAACCCAGTCCAGCTCCTGCATTGTGCCCTTCGAGGTAAACCTTAAAATTGATGGTCCCATTGGTATTCCTCCTTGATTTAGGTCGGACAAAAGCTAGACAGCCCACAGGTTTCACCTTTATTCCAGGGATCCGTTTGGATCTCTGGTTACCCAATACTTCAGCAAAAGTTGCCTTCTTGGATTTGACGCTTACAGATGGGGAGAACGAGCTCACACACATAGTGATGTCCTAATTTCGTCTTTTATCGATCCATGTATTCCACGGTTTCTTGATCAAATATTGGAATTCACCGATAAAATGTTTCCTGTTTTTGCATGGTTCTCTTAAAAGGCTGTATGTCGGTGTTACATGGCGCGATACGATTGGTGGTAGTGCTATCTTTTCTCCATTCACTTAAATTATACGTACTCGAGCCCTGCGACTTCGCTTTCCAGTATTCTTTTGTGATCCTTTGCAGGTCCTGAAGCACCGCGATGCTTCGTTTCTTTTGTTCGCAAGCTATTTCGTGTGCTCGTTTTCCAGATGGTAATATTCAGTAGTTCGTTGAGTATAGCAAATTTCTCCTTGCTGATCATTCAGCAAATGAACCAATCGGATCAGACGAACAGAACTACTGAAATGAACATTGCCAACGAACCAATCAAATGCAAGTGTACTGGCCTGCAACTCAAGAAGTCTTCAAGTGACCAGTCAAATTACGTGCAAACCAAACTTCTTACAACCAATCACCTTAGAGTTCTTAAACAATCCTTATGTACTATGTAAATGCGGGTAGAATGATAGTAAATAACCACCCGACCACGCACTGGCGATTTCTCCTGGAATAGTGGCGCAATGTTTACACACTGATTGACAGGCTCAGTGGACAGATCGGCTGCCAACTGATCCACGACCAAGTACTTACCACACTTCGTCGGCTGCTCACTCTAGCCTAGCTCAACTGCCAGGACATACTAGAACGCCCGAGAGTGAGGTTGATGATATTCCCTGTTAAATGCGTCTAAAAATTAATTTCTTTCAATAGGCAATGCAGGGAATCGGTGGAAAAGGAATCATATGGAATGATTTTGGTCTTGTGTTTTCGAAATCGATGACTCGTTGATGCATTTTCATACCCAGAGAACTCAGTATCCATCCAATAATGAATGGGTGAGCTTGTTCTTTTCAAAAACGTTAATCTATTAATCGAGCAGTTTCAATCACCAATCGAGGTGACATCGTCAGTGCGGGGCTGAGTGGGTACATTCTCCCCGTTTGCTTATACGGCACACGAGTTCAGTTGGTCCCGTGGTGGTTTTCGCGTAATTTGGTTGGCCAGCCTAGAATCTCATTTGTGTTATGATCTCGTTCCTTCGTATTTAGTTGGTTCGTTTGACACCACCAAATCGGCAGTTTTCTGTCTCCATTTTGATTGGTCTGATTTCATCCCACATGACTGGCTGATTGAATAGCCTCCTAATTTTGGTAACCTTTAACTCAGTTGGTCTGTTGCCTGCCGTTAGGTTGTTTGATTTCCCGTATCGTTCAGAATCCCGTAACTGTGTAATTCTTTAATTCCTCACGGCTGATATCGATCTGTTTGTTGATCGATTTTTGTGTAGAGTACCACGCCTCAGGAAATTCCGGCTCTGTTTTGTTCTTGCATGAGCAAGTATTTGAACTTGACCCTAGTTGAACTGGTATTCTTCCCTGTCTTTGTGGATTGAAACGAGTAACACTGGGTCATGTCTTCTGCTGGCAAGCTTGTGTTCGTGTATTCTGGTGGCAAGCTTTCTCCCAGTCTCGCCAACTTAGTGTTCATCGCAGTCCTGATATTGAAGATGGTAGACCGTGTTCGTCTTCTCCCTTGAATTCAGTCTTCCGTTCGATTCCCTCCTGAGAGTTCTCAACGTGTTTACAGGCTTGGAGGTGACTGTTATTCCACGTTGCCGCAGTTGTGTCTCTAGTCAAAATACTTTCCAAAGGGTCTTTTCTCAATGACTATTCCCATTGATCCTAGGATTTCATGCACTCAACCATTCCTCTCCGCAGGATCTTCTCGGCTATATTGTAAGCAGCGGTCTGGTTGACCTGCTGGCAGCCCGGTTGTCCAGCCCCCGCCAAGCCAATTGGCTCTTACGCATCGGTAGTCCGGGTAAGAATGGACCGAATCAGTTTATAGAACAATCACAACAGATCACTCTGGCTACCATTGCGCTCCTAACTTGTCTGGTTCGCCTGTTGGGTTGTATTCCATCTGCCTGCCCGACGAAAGCGCGTTCAACTCAGACTGTCCATACTGCGACGCACCAGCAGTCTGAAGTATCGAGTACTACAGGGTCGTCGGTTGTTCATGTCTCGGCTGTTCAGTTATCTGTCGACGAAACAAGCACTTATTCGGTATCGAGTGCAAGTCGCGCAACGGATGCCTCGACGCCTCCCACATCGTCGTCTCCACGTGGAAACAATGTCTGTGTTCGTGGGTAGGTCTTCTTTGCTTGAGTTTGTACAGTGCCTAACTGAAGCGTTTTGGGGTCTTTAGTATATCATGATATCATCTTTATATATAGTGTGGTATATAGTATAGTATATAGTACATTAGAATAGTGTAGCATAGTATAGTATATAGTAAATTAGTGTAGCATAGTATA